CGTGCTCCTGGCCTCCCGGCACAGGGCTTGAGACCTGCTCCTGAGCTCTTGGGTGGTTTTTTCTTTCATGTTATTTTGGGGCTGGTTGAGTTCTTTTTGGTATTTTTGATGTCACTTGCATAATCTCTAGTAATTCCTCAAAAAAAAAAAAATCTATATACTGGGCACATCACGGTTTTAGGGCACAGATTCCTCATCTGCTAGTGTCCTGTTGCTGTGACAAAGTACCTGAGAGAAAACGTTTAAAAAGGAGGAAAGGTTCGTGTTGCTCCAGTGTCCCCCAGCCGGGGGCTCTGCGGCCCCGCACAGCCCACAGGGCCAGGCCAGGAGGAGGTGCTGGAGGGGTCCTCTGGCTGTAGCCTCCGGCGCCTGCTCTTCCCAAAGGCTCTGCAGGAGTCAGGGGCAATTGTGGCCATGACGGGGGACGGTGTGAACGACGCGGTGGCCCTCAAGTCTGCAGACATCGGCATCGCTATGGGGCAGTCGGGGACTGACGTCAGCAAAGAGGCCGCCACCATGATCCTGGTGGACGACAACTTCTCCACCATCATGTGAGCGGTGCGCCGGCAGGTCATGAGTGGCCAGAGCTGGGGTGACCAGCTCCCCGGGACCTTCGGCAGTGAGAGACGGGGCGGGGCAGGGTCCCCAGAGAGCTGCCTCCTGAGTCTCGGCCCAGACTCTGGCACGTGTCCCCAGGCGCCTCTCAAAGCAGGGTCCTGGGGCGGTGGCAGCGCCATTCCAGAAAAATGGGGTTGAGCCAGGCAGAGCCTTCTGCAGGTTCAGGAAGGTCCCCTCATGCCGTCTCCGGGGGTCCCGTCTCGGACGGCCAGTTGCTGTGGCCTTTAAGTACTGCAGGGTCTTAGCCAAGGAGTGGCCCAGGCTCAGCCAGGCGGTAATTGGAGGCGTTGAGTGCACCTCGTGAACAGAGGGCCACGGGGCCTCAGGGCAGGTCCCCAGAGGCCGGTGGACACGGTTAGGGCAACAGTGTGTCCCCGGAGTACCTGCAGGGCCGCCCGCCAGCACTGCGCGAGGCCAGGCCTGCAGGACGCTCTGCCCACCCCGTCCCTCCCCGCAGGAGCGCCGTGGAGGAAGGCAAGGCCATCTTCCACAACATCAAGAACTTCGTCCGGTTCCAGCTGAGCACGTGAGTGGGGCCCGCAGTCCCGCGGCCCGGGCACCTGTCCGCGGGGTGGCGCTGACGGCGGCGTCTGTGCTGTGCCCGCAGGAGCATCTCGGCCCTGAGCCTGCTCACCCTCTCCACCGTGTTCAACCTGCCCAGTCCCCTCAACGCCATGCAGATCCTGTGGGTCAACATCATCATGGACGGGCCACCCGCACAGAGGTGAGCGGACAGTGGGGCCGGGCCCACCCCAGGCCTGCA